CTCCGTTATAGGAGCAATATCATCGAGACACTTACTAGAAACGTCTCGCTGCGGACTCTATTCACTCGAGGAAAACGACCGGTGGTCATACCCTCAACAAAATATAACCAGTCTATTCATTTCCCAACCGTTGACAATCATTCCGTAAGTCTTTGGCTCGGCGACGAGTGATGTCCTAGCGCTCGTGTGTCAAGCGCTCGCCACTAGTGCACCATACGGGGCAGTTATCAGAACGGCACTGAACCAGGAATATGCTCAGATATTTATTATTGGCATACAAGAGGCTCATACCGCAATTTGATTATTTTTTTTGGGGTATGTGGAACAAATCTTGGCACAAAAATTTCACTTGCGTCCACTCGGTGTGCGAAGCAAGAGCCCGCGCGCCCATATTGACGAACTGTCGAATTATTAGCAATCTACGGGTTCTGATTGGCGAAGTTAGGCACAAACCTGGACGCTGTGCCGGTTTCGACAAGCATGTTCCTTTGCCGTTGAGTTTGTGTTACAGGAAATGGAACATAGCATTCCCCCCTGGTTCCTAGCTCCATCTTAGTTCCTACCTTCCCGAAATTAGAATTGGTGCCGCATAACATGGCAGTACGCACCTCCGTCCAGGCTCGACAAATCGAGGCTGTTGAAAACAGACATATTCTTGGTGGTATTTGTCCACGTGGAGCGCCATAATGGCAAAATTTAGCAGTTAGATGGGACTAGGTGCCAAAGCTGCTCAAGCAGGTGGAAGAGTCCGAGGTCAAGTTCACTTTCGAGTTGGTCCTCAGTTGTCTAATAACTCTCAATTTAACTCTACCCTTAAGATCACGTACTGGAGTGAATTTAAGAGACTTGTTCAATGGAGTGGTCTCACGTTCGCTGACAAGCTCCGACGACACGATATCTTGCAATCAGAGCCCATAAATAAGGGTGCCCAATGGAGTGTAATTGATATCAGCTATAGATAACCTATACATACGTGTATTTGTACGGTATAATTATGTTCGGGAATGAAACCCAATGAAATGATGTGATAAGACAAGATGCAATGCATTCTCCAAAATAGATAGACGCGCAACCACGGGTAGAATGATTTCAGTCAACCGTGGATTTATTGGCTCTTCTCGACAATAGGGTATTTGGGGGCGAATTGCCATGCCTGTGATAGTATGAGCGACCAGTTCTGAACTCTCAACAATGTCACACCACTCACAGATCTGTATTTCCAGTAGAAAACCCATGGGAATAAAACCTTCTTTCCGAGCCACGGCATTTCAGGAAACTGCAACTCTGGGCGACCATGTGCGACAACCCAGCACCCAAAGGTAAAGGGATCCTAAGATAGGCAACATACTTAGAATCATCTCAAATTAGAAGGATGAAATACTCACGACCTCCCTGGTAAAGTGCTGAGTCTCTACCTCCTTGAGACGCTCGAGTTTACTCAGAGGTAGCCCGCTGGTACGTATGTTTTCTGGGGCGAGCCAATCTATTTCATGCATCAACTAGAATAGAGATAAAAGGTCAATCACCATGTCCCGGGGTCCTAGAGAAGACAAGAGACTCACATGTACGAACAGTGGTTCACTCATGTCTTCAATGTACCTTTTCATCCGCTTGCTATCATAGACAGCCTTGGTTTTGTTCAATGAAGGAACTGCCTTTCCGTCTTTATTCTTCTCCAGTCCAAGAAGGGACTCGAGGTATTCCTCCCAGCGCTCCATTGCATCAGAAAAGGCGGCATGCTCTTCCAATATGTCGCATTGGAATTCAGGAGAGATTATAGGAACTAAGTACCGTGGTCAACAGTTTGGTCGTGATGAGTTTCTGATAGCACTTACAAGCAATGGTTTCTTCGAACCAGTGGTGATGATGTAGTACCTATGAGGCAACTGTCAGACGGTGACACGTTTAGACGACGGCAATTTCACCTGTTCACTAAAGTAGGCATATTGGATGAAGGCACTTTGCTGGGCCTCTGTGATCGATTCCGCCTGATCATAGATGTTTTGGACAGCGTCGGTGAGAAGAAGGTGTCTATGATAAAAGTTAGTAACGCTCAGTTCTCGTTGATGTACGAAGAAACCCACACATTGGCCATTGACCAGCGAGCTTGAACAAAGAGGTCTGGCGGAGCGGGACCACCACTGTACTGTAAAAACTTTTGACGTGCTTCATTGCACAGATCGTATACCCTCTGTTCCTTTGTCTCTGTGGTTTGCATTGTGTTACGAGGAGGACTGGATATGAATGAAGGTAGGGGATGCTTGTCCGTCAATGTGGTTCGCAAAACACACCCTTTATATGTCGATCCAATTCAGCCCACAGCCTTTTTTGCACATGATCCTATCTTGATATTGGTGACATGTTCCCCTCGAGTAGCGGTGGTACTATGACACTTGTCAAAACGTCGTAATGAGGGTGATCTCATCCATAAATTTGAGGAAAACGACCGGTGGCCATAAGATTCACGAGGCATGGTTAGTCTATTTACGGAACGAGCGTCGATGATCATCCCGTTCAGTAAATTCTGGCTCGGCGATGGCGATGTCGTAGCGCTCGCGTGCCAAGCGCTCATCCGACTGTTACTCTACAATGAGATGGTCAGACTATAGGGTGGTGGTTACGGATAGTCACTTACTTGCATTCATGAGGAGAGATGCGTATAAGGCCTATTAGAGGTTTCGTTTCTCATGATTTCTCCAAAAATCCTCGTGTCTCCAGTACGAGACCATCATTTTATCGAGAGATTCGGTCTGCTCATCGAACACTTTCATAACTTCCTCCGTCACTTGCTTGATGAGCTGTTCTTGGTTGGAAGGTTGCCCGTCCTCCGA